GCTCTGCTCTCCCTGCACATCCCTCTCCCCCTTGCACGACCCCCTCTTCCCCCCTCCCCCCTCCCGCTCCCGCCCCATAATCGGCTCCAGCTGCACAAACATTCCCGCACCCGGAGCCGCCGCCGCCTCCGGAGCCGCCCCCGCGCCCGCCCGGACCCTCCCCCGAACCTCCTCTGGGCCCCCTAGCCGGACCCTCCCCCAGAGCCCCCCTGGGCCCCCTGGCCGGACCCTTCCCCGCCCGGGGCAGCTGCGGAACCGCGTGGCCGAAGAGCAGCCCCGGGCAGAGCCCGGCAGGACTGGGCGGGGAGGGGTCCTGGGGGAGCTGGGGGATACCATGTCCATCCATCCATTCACTCATTCCATGTCCACCCATCACATCTGTGTCCATCCATCCATGCCTGTCCATCCCTGTCCAGTCACCCTACACTCTCTGGATGGGCCCCGGATGTTGGTGGGGTCCCAGGCTCACCCATCCCAGCTTCTCCAGGAGGTGCACCAGGATGGAGACGGGAGCCTGTGCCCACCCATCCTGTGTCCATCCATCCCTTATTTTCCAGGAGGGGTGCTGGGGTGTGTCCATCAATCCCAGGTTCTCCAGGAGTTTCCCAGGATGGAGATGGGGTCCCACGCCCATCCAGCTGTGTCCTACCTTGAAGGAGGGATGCTGGGATGGACGCCTGGGTCCAGGAGAGGACACTGTGAATGACACAGCTCATCACACTCACTGATCCCAAGCTCTCCAGGACAATGCAGGCATGTGGAGGTGGCCCAACATTCCCCACTCCTCCACTCTTCAGGTGTGTCCCTGCACAGAGCCAGGACCCCACACGGCTTCGGGGACAGTGATGGGGATGGGTGCCACCCCCACCGCGCATACCTGGGCAGGATGGCGGGATGGGGACAGGATCCTGCGCTGCCTTGGGAGACCCCCCGAGGTGCCGGGTCCGGTCCCGCAGGTCCCATCCCGCCCGCTCCCCGGCGGCTCCGTCTCCTTTAAGAGCGGCGCGGCCGGAGCCGAATTGAGCCGCCTGTCCCCGCTGGCGTCCGGCCAGGGCTCGGCCTCGGCCGCGGCCAGATCCCGCTCCAGCGCCCGCCCGGCGGGGACAGCGGGGCCGGGGGGGGGCGAGGACACCCGGGACCCCGCTGGCACCATTGGGTGCTGGTCCCTTGAGTCCCTGCTGGCTCTGTCCCCGTAGGGGTGAAGGCACACGGAGCCAGAAGGTGGGGACTGCCAGATATGTCCCCACAAACTCTCAGGACCTTTCATACCAAATGAACATGGAGACACATGAAGTGTAGCAAAGAGATGTCTCTTGTCACATCCCTGCACCCTGTCACCTCCCTCTGCCACCTCCGTGTCACTGCTGGAGACCAGGACAAGAGGGGCAGTGGCAGGGGAGGGGACAGATGGATCCCGCTGCCCTGAGGGAGCTGTGACCCGGGGCCGAGAAAGGGACAGTCTGGGGACAGGGGAACCTGGGGGCCGTGGAGACAGGGGACTGAGCAGCCCCAGGAGACAGGACAGCCCCCATGCAGGACAGGAGCCAGGAGAGCTCATGGATAAGGGGACGGGAGAGCCTGTGGCCAGGACAGCCCATGGTGCAGGGGACAGGACAGCCAGCGGCAGGGGACAGAAATGACCACGGCCTGGGTCCCAGGAGCACTGGGACAAGCGGTACTGGGGACACCCCGTGACCCATCCTTCTCACAGTTCCTTCCTCCTCTCTCTTCCCTGCAGTGGTTTCACTGCCGGGGCTGACCTTATGCTGGGACAGCCCAGTGCTGTCACCCCACGACAGCCCTGCCCCCTGTCCCCATCCCCAGGAGCACGAGCACTGGTGGCACTGGTGGCACTGGTGTGATGAGTTGCGGGTGCTCTGGGGCCGGGCCGGGTTTGGCGTTAATTGACTCCCGCGGCGGTGGCAGCTGTGAAAACAGAGTGGGGCTCATTAGGGGACATCAAAGGACCCCCCGCACGGTCGGGAGGGGACACAGCACGACCCGCTGGCGTTTGCTCTCTCTTCTCTTGGCTTAAAAGGGGAAGAGGAGGATGGGAGTCACTGGCCTGACCACAGCCGTGCTCAGCGAGGAGGTCCCCATTCCCTGTCCCTGGGGTTAGTGGCACCTATTCTTTGGGTGACATCCCCAAGGTTACCTGGACATGGGATGACCCATCCCTGGGGTGAGCTGGATTTGGGGTGATCTCTCCCAGAGATCGATCACCTGCTCCTGGAGTGACCCGTCCTTAGGGCCACCCATTCCCAGGGTGACCTGTACCCAGGGTTAGTTTTCCCTTAGGTGACCCATTCCCAGAGAGATCCATCTTTGGGGTGAATTTCCCAGGGTGCCCCATCCCTGGTGTGACTGAGCAGGGGACAGAGGGGACATTCGGTGACCACTGCTTGCAGACACCCTCCAGCTCCTGCTCAGGCTGCAAACAGCCCTGAGAGCCAAAAACTTTCAAACCCTCCCCCCCAAAATTGCTTGGGAAGGGCCACATGGCACAGACCTGGCCCAGTTCCTCCTATTTCAAATCCATCACAGGAGCCTGTGGGGCCAGGGAGGGGGGCCAGGGGCCCCCAGTGGGTCCCAGCAGTGCCCGTAGGGTCCCCAGAACCCCCAGATCCCTCGGCACCCCCGGAGCACAGGAGCAGCCCCAGCGATCCCAGATCTCAGCTCTGTTTTCCAAAGCCAGGACATGAAGCCTTTTAAAAAAAAATCTCCTCTCTGAGCTCCTGCATTCCTGGGTGGAGAGTTTACATTCCCCCCGTCCCCCGTGATCTGTGCTTCGCCTCCGGAAAACAAAGTGGCCTTCGTGGGGAGCTCCTTTTTGGGGAGCAGGACCCTCCAGCCGGAGCCAGGACCCCGAGGACAGCACCCCAAAGCACTCAGAGCCAGGGCTGCATATGGCCCGGGACCCCCATGGCAAGGAGGACCCCCTGAAGTGGCACCCGTGGGGCGGGCATTGACGGGTGCAGGGGGGGTCCCCTGATGCCTTGGCAGGGGCTCATCCTGCCCATGCCACCACCAGAACAGGCAGCAAGAATCACCCTGCCTGAATTCCCATTTCCAGAGGCACCCAAGACAGGGGGTGGGGTAACAGTGGGTGCTGGGGTGTCCTGGGGGGTGCCATGGGTGCCAAGGGGGGCCCTGGGAGCGTTCCGACCAGCCTAGCCCGACCCCCAAACTGCTTCTCTGAGCCACAGAGGAGGGGGAAAAGAAGCCCTGGATAAGCTCCCCCTCTTCTCTCCCCCTTCCAAGTCATCGCTGGAAAATTAAACCGGATCCAAAGAGTTTTTCCTTTCCAAAATGTGCTGGAGAGGCGCTGCCTTAACCCCTTCGGCTCCCGCCTCGCCCTCAGCTCGGGATTGGGATTTTTAAGGGGGTTTGGGGATTTTCCCGGGTTTTGCTGGGGGAAGGCGAATGGCATAATACCCCGGCAATCCCTCTTTGTGCTCCAGGGATCCCCAAATCCCCTGGAATGAGGGAGACAAGAAGCGCTGAGGCTCCCCGGGGCCAGTTTTGGGGCACCCCTGGGGCCAGCGCTTCGCGGCCAGGTCTCCCTCTCCATTTTGGGAAGAGTATTTTTTTTCATTCCAATTAAATCCAGCTGATTAAATCCATCCTTCCACCCCTCCCTCCCTGCCCTGAGCTTGTTCCCCTGCAGCTGAAACTCCCCTACATCCCCCCTCCAGCATCCCCAAATCCCGACAGATCGAACCGGACTCAGGAGCCGCGGGATCAGGGGCCCACCCCAGCCAAACCCCTAATCCCAGAGAAAATGTGAGCTATTTCCTCCCGGGGGGGGTACACAGGAGAGCCCCCCCCACTGCAAACTGAAAATTCCTCATTTTTTGTGTTAAAAAATCTCATTTTTCCCCTTTCAAAGCGCTTTGTTCCAGCTGGAGGGAGGCACTGGTTCATTCCCCACGGGGTGGAAGTGGGGGGCCCAGCAGAATCCGTGGGGACCTCCACAATTTAATTATTGGGGTTTTTCGGGGGAAAAAGAATAGCCCTCAGGAATAATCTGGCTTTTTTTTTTCCTTTTTTTTTTTGACTCGTTTGTATTTGTGAAGGATTGTTCAAAAAGGGATTTGGGAGGAAAAGTCATCGGCCAAGTGGGGGGGCCCAGGGAGAGCTCCCGTGGGGGCAGCCCCAGCCCAGGGTCTCGTAGGAGCAAAGGGGTGAACAAAAAATCCACTTTCTTGGGGAGTTTTGAAAGGAGAGCGAGAAAAATGGGCTTGTTATTGGGGTTTTTTGCCTTTTTCCCCCCTTTTTCCAGGGGCCAGCAGAACTGAAGGTGGGGGGAGCCAGGACAGAGCGGGAAGTGGGGAGCAGGGGGCCGAGGGTTCCCTTCCAGGTTTGCCCGTGGTTTTTCCCTTTTTCTCCTCTTTCTTCTCCTTTTTCCCAACTCTTTCTCTTTTTCCCCCCCGATCCTTTTTCTCTCCTCATTTTCATCTCCTTTTTCTCTTTTCCCCTCCTTTTTTATCTTTTTCTCGCCTCCTATTTTTTCTCCCTTTCCTTTTTTCCTCCTTTTTCTTCCCTTTTCTCCTTTTTTCTGCCCTTTTCTATTTTCCTCCTTTTTCTCCCGTTTTCCTCCCCCTTCTCCCACTTTTTTCCTCTTTCCTCCTTTTTCTCATTTTCCCCTTTTCTCCTCGCTTTTCTTTTTTCACCCTTTGCTGCTCATCTTTCCCTTGTCTCCTGCTTTTTTCCTCCCTTTCCTTTTTTCTTTCCTTTCCCCTTTTCCCTACCTTTTCCACTGCTTTCTCCCTTTTCCTTCTTTTTCTTCCCCCTTCTTTTTTCTCCTATTTCTCCCTCCCTCTCCTCCTCTTTTCTCCCTCTCTTTTTTCACATTTTTAAATAGAAATATATAATTACATTTACAAATGCTATTTACAGGTTTAATTACAAAAAAAAAAAAAAAAAATCAAAGAGAAAGAGAGACACCCCTTAGACATTAATAAATCTAAAAATAAAAATATATAATAACTCCTCCCCCCCCCCACCCCCAAAAAAATATTTCAGGCCGAAGGGCAGTGGGGCCGGGGGGGTCACACCGTGGTCTCGCCCTGCTTGCTGTTGGTGAGCCGAGTGTAGAACTTCCTCCAGGAGTGCAGGGTTTTGCCCGACCATATCCAGAACCCAGAGGTGATGCCCACGATCAGAGTCATGAGATACTTGATCATGTAGACGGTGAAGTCGGGGGTCATGCGGGGGGTGAAGTGGAGCGGGCAGGGGATGGCCAAGCTCTTGCAGTTCTGGCTGATCCAGCTGCGCTCCCAGTGCTCGCGGAACGCCTGCTCGTAGAAGTAGCAGGCGATGACAATGGTGGCTGGGACGGTGTAGAGGACGCTGAAGACCCCGATGCGAACCATGAGCCGCTCCAGCTTCTCCGTCTTGGTGCCGCCATGCTTCATGATGGTGCGGATGCGGAAGAGGGAGACGAAGCCGGCCAGGAGGAAGGAGGTGCCGATGAAGAGGTAGACAAAGAGCGGGGCCAGCACGAAGCCCCGCAGAGGGTCGATGTTGTTGAGGCCCACAAAGCAGACACCACTCAGCAGGTCCCCATCGATCTGCCCCATGGCCAGGATGGTGATGGTCTTGACGGCTGGCACTGCCCAGGCGGCCAAGTGGAAGTACTGGGAGTTGGCCTCGATGGCCTCATGGCCCCATTTCATGCCAGCAGCCAGGAACCAGGTGAGGGAGAGGATGACCCACCAGATGGAGCTGGCCATGCTGAAGAAGTAGAGCATCATGAAGAGGATGGTGCAGCCCTCCTTCTTAGTGCCCTGCACCACAGTGCGGTAGCCGTCCTCCTGGAAGCGCTCGTTGCAGACCACCTTCTCCTCCAGCACAAAGCCGGCAATGTAGGCTACTGACACCATGGTGTAGCACCCCGAGAGGAAGATGATGGGTCGTTCAGGGTAGCGGAAGCGCTGCATGTCCACCAGGTAGGTGGTGACGGTGAAGAACGTGGAGGCACAGCACAGGACAGACCAGATGAGGATCCAGATGCGGGCAAAGCGGATCTCATCCTCGTTGAAGAACATGTGGCCATCGGGACGGGTGGGCTCACAGGGCGCCGCGCAGTCCTTCTCCCCCAGGAACTTGTAGTTGAGGTAGCTGGGCACCTTCAGCGCCCGTGGGCAGTGGAAGGGGTGGTCGAGGGTGGCATAGCGGGGGGCGCCAGGGGTGCCCTGGCCAGCCAGCGGTGTGGCACTGGTCAGCAGTGCTGGGGAGCCACCGTCCTCCGAGTGGTTCTGCCCCACACAGATCTGCTCGGCGCCGTGCCGGGGGAAGTTCTCACATCGCAACCGCTCCGGCCACTGGAACCCAAATTTGTTCATGAGGGCCTCGCAGCCCTGGCGCGCCCGCTCGCAGATGGAGCGGCACGGCGGGATGGCCTGCTCCAGCACCGTGCACACAGGCGCGTACATGGAACACAGGAAGAACTTCAGCTCCAGCGAGCACTGCACCTTCACCAGCGGGTAGAACTGGTGGACCTCCAGCCCTGCGTCCTCCTGGTTGGTGTGACCTAGCAGGTTGGGCATGATGGTCTGGTTGTAGGCGATGTCGGTGCAGAGCGGGATGGAGATGGGCTGGCAGAAGCCGTGGTCGGGAATGGAGATGCCCTTCTCGCCGTGCAGCTGGGCCCGGCTCGGCGCCGGCACGCTCAGCCCTGCCAGCAGCCAGGCCAGGGCGGGCAGCACGCCGGGGGGGCCCATGGTGCCCCGAGCCGTGCGCCCCGATTTACCGTGCCCGGTGCCCAGCCGGACAGCCAGTCCTCCCGCCCCGGTTTGCCGTGCCCGGTGCTGCCTGGATGGCTCCCACAGCCGGATCAGCCGTGCCCGGTGCTGCCTGGACGACTCCCGGTGACTGGATACACTCGAGTCCCGGCTGGATGACTCCCGGTGGCCNTGGACGACTCCCGGTGACTGGATACACTCGAGTCCCGGCTGGATGACTCCCGGTGGCCTGATTTGCCGTGCCCGGTGCTGCCTCGACGGCTCCCAGAGATAACTCCGCCTTGCCCGGTTCTGGCTGGACGATCCGCGATGACTGGATACTCTCAGGTCCCGCCTGGACGGCTCCCGGTGGCCGGATCCCCCGTACCCGACGCTGCCCCGACGGTTCCCGCTGCCCGCTGTCCGCCTACCCTGTGCCCGGCGGGACGACTCCCGATGCCCCGATCTACCGTGCGTGGCGGGACGGCTCCCGCTGCCCAAACTTGGCGCTCCTGCTGCTCCCAGTGCCGGGTTCCGAAGCCGCGGGCGGGCAGTGGTGCCGAGACGGTGGCGGGAGGAGGGTCCCGGGGGCTGCCGAGGGGGATGCTGGGGGGGTGCCGGGGTCCCGGGGCGCGGGGAGCGGAGCAGCCGCACCGGACGCTCCCGCCGCCTTTGTGCGGGGCAGCGCCGCGTCCCCGCCGGGCGGGACCAGCGCCCCGCGCCCCGCCCCTCACGGGCCCGCCCCGCCAGCTCCGCCAATCACATTCAAATGGCGCGACCGACACGCCCACGATGACCCGAGCCACGCCCATCTAGCCACGCCCTGTCCCGGCGGTCACCGCCCTCCCCGCCCCCCCCCCCCCCCCCCCCCCCCCCCCCCCCCCCCCCCCCCCCCCCCCGCAAACTTTTTCCGAGTCGTGCAAACTCCCCCCGCGGGTGAGGTCGGGTCGGGGCCGAGGGGAAACCGCCCTCCCGTGTCCCCAAACCGCATTGTGGCCTGTGTCCCCCGTGTCCTCTGTGTCCCCCGTGTCCTCTTGGTCCCCCGTGTCCCCTTGGTCCCCGCTCTGTGTGCCCTGCTGTCCTCTGTCTCCCCATGTCCCCTACTTCTCCTGACAACTTCTCCGTGTCTCCTGACAACCCCCGTGTTCACTGTACCTCTGTCCTGTGCCCCTCCCCTGTCCCCTGCGCCTCCCATGTACCCTGTGTCCCCTGCGTGCTCTGCACCCCACCCCCCTGTCCCCTGCCCCCTGTGCTCCCTGCATCCCCCGCTGTGTTCCCTGGCCGTGCTGTGGCCTCTGCACTCCCTCCATGTCCTCTGCCCCCTCTGTGTCTCCTGTGCCCCACCTTGTGTCCCCTGCTCTGTTCATGTCCCTAACCCCCCCACCATGACCCTCCACCTGTCGGGCTGCTCCCCCCAGCCTAAGACCCACATCCCCCGTAGCGTGCTGAAGGGGGTCCCCCACTGTTCCCACTTTAGGGTACAGTGGAGCGGGGTTAGCTCCCATGCCCCACTGGAGACCTCCAGAGCAGGGTGCATTGGCCCCAACATTCCTTGTCCCCAGGTGTCAGCCAGGCAGTGCCACCACCCCATAGGTTGCCCATGGCAACCATGGGTACCCCCAAAAGGCCACTGCATAGCCAGGGGTATCCCCAAATCAGTGGGGGTGGTGGGAAACATCCTGCACCCTGCCCCCGTCTCCAACCCCACACCTCCCACCCCAGCTGGGGTTGTGGTGCAGGGCAAAAACAGGGCAGTGGGAGAGGCCTGGGGGACTGGGACACACTGCAGGGAACTGAGACACGCTAGCAGCGAATAGGACAACTGGGGGGTGACACTGGGACACAGCAGGGGGATTCAGGACGTGCTGGGAGCATCCAAGACACATTGAGAGTGTTGGGACACAGGGAGGTCAAGCACAGGGGGGGTCACGGGACACACCAGGGAGTCAAGCACACACTGGGGAGCACCAGGACACACTGGAGGGACTGAGACACACTGGAGAGACTGGGACCCACTGGAGACCCTCATCAGGGAACAAAACTGCAGGCAATTACCCCAAATTTCGGCACCAGGATGGGGGGCTGCCCTTCCCAAGGCAAGGGCAGCTCGGAGGGCTGTGATGGGGAGCCCCCTGCCCCTGTCCGCTCCGTTTTGGGGGGCTGGGGGTCTTCGGGCAGCCTCCTTCCCTCCCTCCCTCCGCGTCCTCCCTCCCTTTCTCTCCCTTTCCTGTAACTTAAGCTTTTGTTGTGAGCAGGAGACCCGGGCTGCCGTGAAAAGAGGGGGCCCCACCGCCTTTCACAGCGTAATTGAAACCATTGCGGCTCCTGGCCGAGGGGGAAGGGCAGGGGGGGCTCCAAAATCAAAGCCTGGGGGGGAAAGACGGGACACACGATGCTGCCGCCCCCCCGCCCCGCCAGCCTCCCTGGCCCGGACGTGCCGGGTGTCCCGGCGGGGCTGGCAGGGGCTCTCCCCGCTCCCGGGGATGGCGGAGGCTCCAGGGCTGCTGTGGGGTGAGGCGGTGAGATGGCAGCCAGGGCTGGCTGTCCCCGATGGGGCACCCAGGGGTGCTGCCTTTGGGCCCTGCCGTGTGCCCAGGCATGGCTGGGGTCGGTGGGTGCCCGGTGGTCCCAGGCGGGAGGCGGCGGAGAGAGGCTGGCACGGCGCCGGCGGCGGGGGCCGAGCCCGGAGCCCGGCCAGTGCTGCCTCCGGCCCATTCCCGCTCCCATTCCCGCTCTCATTCCTGCTCTCATTCCTGCTCCCCGGCTGCGGTGGGAATGCAGGGCCAGCTGCTCCTGTTGCAGCTCCTCTTGGACCTGTGGTGGCAGGGTCTGGCTAGGTGACCCCTGTCGTGTCCCCCAGGTCCACAGGGACAGGGACGGAGGGGTGCAGGAGTGTCTGCACAGCCACGTGGATTTTGGCTTCCTAAACACTTTGGATTTTGGCTTCTTTCCGGAGATGGAGGGGTTTCACTTCCAGAAGTGTTTGCAAAGGCTGTTCCTGTGCTCCTTTGTCCTTCTGGGTGCGGGTGGCTCAGGACAAGGGTCCCCAGAGCCTCCAGGGACACACTGGGACAGGGTTCCCAGAGTGGGTGCCAAGCCCTCCTCAGGAGGGTAAAACCCAGAGCAGATCCACCAGTCAGCCCTGAGAGGAACCCCTGAGTGGACTGGGGGTTTCAAGGGACACCCCAGAGAAGAAGCCAATGGGGTCCTGCCTGCTCAGTGGTGTCCCCTTACAGGGATATTCAGGGTGGCCAGGGAATCCTGTTATCCGTGTCACCAGGGGTGGTAGAGGGTGCTGCCCCCTCCCCAAAACTTCCCAGGGGGGTCTGGGGTTGGTGTCATGGGTGGAGGGGACACTGCGAAGACAAAGACCAACCCTTGCACTTAGTGGGAGAGGGTGGGTGCTGCCCAGACCAGGCTTTATGGGGAGTATGGGGCCAAACCCAGCTCTTCTCCCAGCTCCCCTTCGTGTTCTCACAGAGCTACTCAGGGTGGGAGACACCCAGGAGGCCCAATCCTCCCACTGCTCCACTCCATCCCAGTACAGCACTGGGGCATGCTGGTGGGCACCCAGTGTTGCCTGTGCCCTGATTCCAGCACCCAAGGGTCCCCAGCGGGAGGCCCATGGGTACCTCCACCTCTGAGATTCTGGTGGCTCCCGTGTCCCTCGCCTCCCTTTCGTGTCCCTGGTGCCCATGCAGCTCTCTTCCCTGGGATTTCTCCAGCACCATTAGGTGCCAGGATGCCTATGGGGTCCTCCCTGCACCCATCAAAGCCAGGGATGGGGGACACAGCTGCAAACACCCATGTCACCTCCAGCAGTACCCTAGCCCAGCCCCAGGCTGGAGGCCTCTTTCTGAACCTCCTCCCTGGAGACAAGTACCCTGAGGGTGGCACCACGTCTAGCACAGGCCCCGTGCATGGCCCCATGCAGGGCTGGTGGCCAGCACCACTCTGAAGGGCCATACTTTGAGGGGACACTGGCAGCACCAGTTTGCAGTTAAGTGTCCCTTAGGGATGGGCACAGAGGATGGCAAAGCAGAAGTGGGGAATGGAGGGGCTGTGGCAGGAGATGCCAGGCAGGATGGGGACCTCGGGGGTCCCCCAGGAGCACAGATGAAGGGAAGGGCCCCTCGGCCCTGCCCTCGGCTTTGTTTCACACTTAAGAGCCTCTAATTAAAACCAGGCACAAAGGCCCTGGCTGGCGGCGGGCGCGAGGTGCCAGCAGAGGACAGGGGTCTGTCACCAAGGGAACAGGAGTGACATGGGGTCCTGGGCACGGGCACTGTGGGGCCCCTGCATGCCTGGGCACAAGCAGGCACGAGTGCCCCCACACGCAGACACACAAGTGCACGCTCCCTACCCTGTGAGCTAGGGAGAGTAGTGCTCAGGCCTGGTTTGTACTGGTGTCAACTGGTCTGATGGTCTGCAGTGGCTCCGTGTGTGGGAGGGCTCTGTGAGCAGCGCTGCCCGGGGGGTTGGGGGCAGAGATGAGCCCTGGGCTGCATGTGGGGTGAGCCAAGCCCTGGGGTGCCCCTGCCCTGGGGGCAGCCTGGTAGGCAGTGGGCACAGCTTCAGCCAAGGACCACAGAGAGATCAGGGGGCTGGTGGGTGACCCCAAGAGTGGCTGTGATGAGCTGGGGGATGATGCCCCCCCAAAACATGGGTCTAGCTGCCTGGATCCTGCAGGGTGGTAAGACCACAAAGCCGCAGTGTCCCCCAAAGCCACTCCCGGTCCTGGCGGGGCACAGAGCCCACCGGGGCGGGCGCGGGGAAAGTGCTTTAAGCACACCTTGACCTTGCTGGCGGGGGAGGGATCCCCTCAGCTTGTCGGACACATCTCCTGCCAGCGCCGGCATTGAGAGCGCGCGAGCTCGCGCGCGGAGGAGCCGGCATGAAAAGGCAGCTTAGGCATCTCCTGCTGCGAGAGATGGATTAGGGGCTTCGGGGAGGCCGGGGGACAGCCAGTGCCACAGCCACCGTGCCGCAAGAGCCGCGTG